GCTGAAGTTGTGTGTATCTTGCCTCCTTTTGGGCAGAAACAATAAGGATGTTAATCCTAGGAAGTGTTCCAGGCCAGGCTGGATGGGGCTTGAAGAATATGTTCTAGTGGAAGGTGTCCCTGCCCATGTCAGGGGGTGGAACTGGACAATTTTAAGTTTCCTTCCAGCCCAAGCCATTCTGGGATTCTAAGAGCTAAGGACTAGGGGTGACATTTTTGTAGTCACCACTGCTACAGCTAGGCTAATGCAGAATGTTTTGGAAAATCCCCCTCTTTGTTGATAAGCAGCCAAATCCTGAAATGCATTATAATTTTTTTTTTTTTTTAAATACAACCTGTGGTCTATTTTCCTGTCCACACACTATTATCATGCTTAGAATTGTGTGGAAAGCCATTAACAGGAGCTCTACCCGGCATGAGAAAAACAAACCCTGTTATTATGAGGACAGGTTCAGTATTCAGTATTTAGCCTATTAAATGAAAACTGTTGCCATCTGACTTTGAATGTTGGAGGGATTGAGGCCACGGGTGGATTCTGTAATGAGTTGTGGTGAGATGCCTGGCAGTGCCCATGTTCTGAAATTGGGTTTTAAATGTGATTGTTTCTCTCAAGACTGGCTTTCATGTGCAGTGCAGTTTATAATGTTAATTTGTTTATGTGATCACTACTAAATGGAAGAGCCTAAGCAGGGATTCTGGAGGTGAGTTAATTAGTGCAATGGGAAAGGGTATTTGCCAGTGTGGAAGGGGAACTGGGGCACTTTCAAGTGCAGGGATCTGTTTATCCTGCTGATCAAAGACTGAACCGATGTCTGTTAGTGGATAAAGGGTGAGGAGTTCTGTGCTCTGGCTGCTCCTGATGTGTATTTACAGGTGTGCAGGAAGGTGACCTTGGCTGGACTCTAATGTCAGAGATCCTCTGAGAGTCTCTGCTAAATTCACAGAATCACAGAATGGTTTGGGTTGGAAGGGACCTAAAGCTCACCTCATTCCACACCCTGCCATGGGCAGAGACACCTTCTGCTATTCCAGGTTGCTCCAAGCTCTGTCCAAGCTGGCCTGGAACAGTTCCAGGGATGGGGCAGCCACAGCTCCTCTGTGCCATGGCCTCCCCACCCTCACAGGGAAAAATTTCTTCCCAATATCCCATCTAACCCTGCCCGTGTATCAATTTGAAGCCATTCCTCCTTGTCCTGTCACTCCATGCCTGTATAAAAAGTCCCTTCCCCTCTTTTATATGGGCCCCTTAAATTGAAATGAATAATATTCAGATTTCCCTCTCCTGAAAACCCAGTAAGTCAAGTCTATTAAAGTCAGCGGGATTTTTATTACCAAGTTCAATAGTATTAGATTTCTCCTTGATATCTGTAACTGAAATGACAATTTTTAATGTTGAAGGATGTGGTTAACCTCTGCATAATTCAGAGAAATTGCTCCATAATCTTTCCTCACAGTTCTCTGCCAAAATCTTCCTCATGAACAGCCTGTAACACACTGAATTATGACTGATTATACGGCTGTTTTCCAATAAGGACAAATACTTGAGAGGGATTTAAGATGAAGTGAACAGACACTGACATTTTCCCTGGGGATTCCAATCAGGATTAAACTCAGTGTGTCCAGACTATCGGGAAAGTGCATTAAGAGCTGTGGGCCATCTACAGAGCTCCTCTGTGGCTTCCTGACATTGTTTACAAAGTTTAATCTGAGAAAATACTCAGTCATTGTTTGATTTGAAATACCAAATGGATGTGAAATGAGAATTGATTAGACCATTTTCTACAGAATTTGCTTTTAGTTTCCTTTTGTGTTATCTTTAAAAAAGAAATCTATGATACAAGAAAACCTAAAGTGCAGAAATCTTTGTTGCAAGATTACAGATGCTTTCCACTTTTCCTGACAAGATAATTGCAGTTGAATGGTATGCCAGCACCCGAGGGAATAAAACACTGCATTCCTTGAGGCAGAACCAGGATTAATTGCAAATGCAAGTATGTGGCTGACACACCTTTTTACTTCTGCGACTGCACATCCTTGTTGCACAACATTTTCATGTACAAGAAATCATCAAATGCAGAAGTATCTACCTTGAAAGGATCAAACTGCAGTGGAAAACCCACATTCCCCAGCCCCAAGGTATAACAGGATCTCTGCACACATCCTCTGTTTCTCTACTTCCCACAGCTCTTCTGAGGCAAACTGGCCTCCTGGATGGCTTTGGAAAAGCTTGAACCAGGGAGCTGGAATGCTGGACATCAGCTTTTCCAGCACAGTCCAGTCCAGTGTCTGTGGGTATAAGTGTGCCTGTGCAGCTCAAGGATACTCCAAATAAGAAATAATTTGCTAATAAATAAGGCTAAAGGAGCATCAAGTGATATGAAGAAACGATGTTATTGCAGAGGAATTGCAGAAGTTGTTGTTTCTGGCTCCTCAGGAGCAAGGGATGAGGAATGCTTGGAAGGTGGCTGTCGTGCACTGCCAGGGCCTCTCTTCCTAACCCATCCTGTCACCCTTAGCTGGAAGGAAACCACAACAGGCTCAGCCCTTACTGATGTCCTCAGTGCCTGGTGGCCTTCTCTATCCTTCTTGCAATGTAATGGGAAGGCTCCTGGGACAGAGTTGGGAATGGCTCAGAGCAGCTGCCTGTGCTTTAGTACCCACCCCACACTCCTGGCCTTGTGTAGTCTTACCTTCTTATTAATTAATCTCAGAGTCACAGAATCATAGATTGGTTTGGGTTGGAAGAGTCCTCAAACCCCATCTTGTTCCAACCCCCTGCCATGGTCAGGGACACCTTCCACTAGAACTGGTTTTTCAGGGCTCATCTTCACTAAAATTTATTTTAAAATCTGTTTTCTGTTTCACATCGAAGTTTCATGGGTCATAATGACACCACAGTGGTTTTATTGGAAGTAGTTTGTGGACGAGATGAGTGATTTTATAACTGAAACATCAGCTTTATCTTTGCAAAAGCTGATTTCATAAAGACAGCTCATTTGCTACAGTTTTTCCTGTATTTTGGTGAAGGAAATAAAGTTTCTGCTCATCTCTCATTGTGACACTCCATTAATTGTGTATAAAGCTTTCCAGCAGATAACACCGGAAAATATTATTTAGTTTGGCAGCTGTTGGTTTTATGGAAATCATCCCTCACTCTGCTCCGGAGGAAATGACTGCAGCAATGTTACCCCAGCTTGCCTTTACTGCAAGGTGCCACTGCTTAAACTGAAACAACTTTTACATGACCTTTTGAAAGGAGAGTGGGGTCATCTTCTACTCAAACTGTTTTCTAATCTTGCTATTTCCTTTGGGCAAGCTCCAGGTTGTATTGATTTGGGATTGTATGACCAGCCTTCCCTTCCCCAGGGCTCATACAGCACAACCTTCTCCTGCATTTCTTCTTAAATTTGCCATCTCCCTTTTCTCCAGATGTAGCTTATGCCTGAGCAGGGAATTTTACATGGTCAGGTAGGGATAGGACATGGGGAAGTGAATGTAAACTAAAGAAGGAAGATTTAGATGAGGCATTAGGAAGAAATTCTTCCCTTTGAGGGTGGTAAGGCTGTGGCATGAATTTCACAGAAAAGCTGTGGCTGCCCCATCCCTGGAAGTGTTGAAGGTCAGGTTGGACTGGTCTAGCAGAAGGTGTACCTGCCTGTGCACTGGGTTGAAAATCAACAAGTTTTAAGTTCCCTTTCAACACAAACTCCTGGAAAAGCTGTCAATCCATGGCTTGGACAGGTTTACCCTAGTCTGGGTTAAGAACTGGCTGGATGGGGAATGGTGCTGCACACTGGTGGTGTCCCCCAGAGATCAGTGTTGGGCCCAGTTGTGTTTAATTTCTTTACTGATGATCTGGATGAAGGGATTGAGTGTACCATTAGAAATTCATGGACAGCTCCAAGTTATGTGGGAGTATGGATCTGCTGGAGGGCAGGAAGGCCCTGTAGGAGGACCTGGACAGGGTGGATCAGTGGACTGAGACCAACAGTCTGAGTTTGAGTAAGACCAAGTGTCAGGTCCTGCACTTGAGTCACAGCTATCCCATGGAGTGTTCCAGACTGGAAAGAAGGAAAGGACCTGGGGGTGCTGCTTGACAGTGGTGGGATATGAGCCCAGGTTTGCCCAGGTCAGCAAGAAGGACAATGGCCCGTGGCCTGTGTCAGCAATTGTGTGGCAGCAGGAGCAGGACAGAGATTGTCCCTCTGTGCTGGGCACTGGTGAGGCCACCAAGTGCTGAGTCCAGTTCTGGGCTCCTCAGAGAAAGGAACGGAGCTGGGAAGAGGCTGGAGCACCAGGAGAGGCTGAGGGAGCTGGGAAAGGGGCTGGAGAATTCCTGAGGGAGCTGGGAAGGGGCTGGAAAATTTGCTGAGGGAGCTGGGAAGGGGCTGGAAAATTTGCTGAGGGAGCTGGGAAGGGGCTGGAAAATTTGCTGAGGGAGCTGGGAAGGGGCTGAGCCTGGAGCAAAGGAGGCTCAGGGGGCCCTTGTGGCTCTGCACAAGTCCCTGGCAGGAGGGGACAGCCGGGGGGGGGGCGGGGTCTGCTGCCAGGGAACAGGGACAGGACAAGGGGAAATGGCCTCAGAATGTATCGGGGAGGTTTGGATTGGGTATTATGGAAAATTTGTCCATGGGAAGGGTGGTCAGTCATTGGGAAAAGGCTGCTCAGGGAGGTCTGGAGTCCCCATCCCTCGAGGTGTTCAAGGAATGTCTGGAAATGACACTCAGTGCTCTGGTGTGTTGACAAGGTGGTGACAGTCACAGGTTGGAGTCGATGATCTTGTAGGTATTTTCCAAACTACATTCTGTGATTTTATGATTATACGCCAGCCCTCTCTCACAGCGTGCCCCGTAAGCGCGATCGCACTCCCTCCTCCCACCCTTTAAGGTGAAAAACCCGGTTTTCTTGTTCCATCTCCTCACACCCCCCCTCACGAAATGGCGGCGGCGGGCGGGGCCGGCAGGGGGCGCTGCGGGCGCGGCCATGGCGGCTGCGCGGCGCCTGCTGAGGCGCCCGGCAGCCCCCGCGCGGCCCCGCCGCCATGGCCTTCACGTTCGCCGCCTTCTGCTACATGTTGGCGCTGCTGCTCACGGCCGCCCTCATCTTCTTCGCCATCTGGCATGTGAGTACGGGCACCGTGGAGGGGGGGACCGCCCGGGGAACGGCCTCATAGAGCCCGCAGGGCGCCCCTGGGCAGCCGCTGAGGGAGCGGGGGAACCACATCCGGAACCGCCCTCAGAGCGGGAATCGGCCTCTCTGCGGATAAAATGGGTTTTTATACGGGCATGGAGTGGAAGGACAAGGGGCAATGGCGTCCCGACGGAAGGCAGGGTTAGCTGGAAGGAATTCTTCTCTGTGAGCGTGTTGAAGCCCTGGCACAGGTTTCCCAGAGAAGCTGTGGCTGCCCCTGGATCCCTGGAAGTGTCCAAGGCCAGGCTGGACAGGGCTTGGAACAACCTGGGCTAGTGGAAGGTGTCCCTGCCCATGGCAGGGGGTTGGAATTGAATAATCATTCAGGTCCCTTCCAGCCAAAACCATTCCATGGTTCTGTGATTTACTCCTCGAGCCTGGCACAGGGAGAGCAGCCAAGGCAGGACCGTGTCTGAAATGAGGTGCTCTGAGGAGGACGTGATGCTTGGCAGGACATTGGTTGTGTACAAGTGCCTTTTGTACTTCATGCTGCATCTTTGTCTTTATTTTTATGTCAAGAAAAAGACTGGTGTACATATTTTAGTGGGGTTTTTTTTGGGTTTTTTTTATTAATTTATGCACCTCTTGGAGGTATAACCTGCTCTATGTGATCCTGCTTTGGCAGGGAAGTTGGACTGGATGGTCTCCAGAGGTCCCTTCCAGTCCTAAGAGTTCTGTGATTCTGGCATCTGTGTGGGCTCAGCATTTACTTTGATGATGAGGAAAAATATCTGTTGGCTTTTAAGCTTGCTCTTGCTTTTTCTGGATTAAGGAACCCCACGCCAGGTTCCTGCTGGTCACCAAGACAGTCCTGGGTGAAATTTAGGGTCTGCACAGTGAGTGGGGTTGAAAACTGATGAAGGGGATGTAGGAAATTCATTGCAGGTGGGAAGATAAAAGTTGGAGAGTACTCAGAGGCTTTTGAATAGCTGATGTAACTACTGTTTTCATATTTGTAAAACCTGTTCCACATCTGTTTTACCTGTGAGTTGATGTAGGCAGAACTTAGGTGAAACGTTACTGAGAACAAAGGTTGCATTTCTGTGCCAAAATGCTACTTTCAATGGATAAAACGTACAATTGCTCCTGAAAAATCAAAACTACTTCATTTTTTCCCTCTAGATTATAGCATTTGATGAACTGAAGACTGATTACAAGAACCCCATAGACCAGTGTAATACACTCAATCCTGTAAGTAGCACACTGAACATTTTGTTTTGCTAAATAAATATGTGTAAAGTGCATATTTTTGGTGTTATCTTGATGCAATCAGCCTGGGCAATAGAATTGCATCTGGGTTGAGAAGCCCTCGCTGTTGGTAGAAGTTCTAGGGAAATTCTTTGTCTGATTCTTTATTTTCAAGTTGAATATTCTGACTGTTATTAATCTGATGGTGATCTTGTCAGCTGTCATACTAACATTCTTTCAATCTGCTTTCCACATTTTCGGCACAAAGACAGTTGAAAAGGTCAAAAAGATTAAAAGAGTCAAAATTGCATTAAAGGTGTGTACTGCTTTTCAGTTTCATGTTTTTGAACTTCCTTTCATTTTGTTAGGAACATTTGTAATACTATTTAGCTGTTTTGTTTAGTCTGCCTGTTCATCTGCTCGTTATTTGTTTGTTGGGGTTTATAACAACCTCATGGATTTCCATATTTTGTGCCAAACCAATTCTGCTTGCTTACCTAGCAACGTGGGGAAAACTGTTACATGCCTGTTAGGTGTCAGAAGATAACTTCAGGCAGAAATAAATTGTGATTTTCAAGACAAATTTACTGAATTTAAGATTAAGATTAGAGAAGAATATTTGGTTGTTTTTTTCAAGCATTGACCAAGTCAATTCTGATCTTTTTTTTGAGGGTTTATGTGAGTGGAAGGTGATAAGTGCTATCCTCACTTCTCTGTTCTGTGTTCCAGGATCAGGGGTGTGTCCCAGTGTCCTCTCTCAGATGCAGCTTGGACACTCCTTGGCTTAGGAAAAGAATTTGAGGCAAACTATTTGCCTGCATCTCTTACAGCCAGCAGCATCAGGGAGGCTTGTTAAAGAACACAGAGGTTGATCCTGCAGCATTTTGTGCATTTCTTATGGCTTTTCCTTTGTGTGTGCCCAGGCTGAGGGAGGATGCAGGGGCAGCACAGCAGTGTGGCCTGAACTGTACCTTTAGTGTGTTTTAAGTAAAATATGCAACAAAAAATAAATTTACTTTAATTGGGGTGGGGGAAGAGCGTGTTATATGTACAGCACACAAATTAAAGTGAATATTTCAGTGTGAGGAGGGGAGGAGGAGAGGAGGTTTGCTGCTAGGAGAGCTGTGCATCTAACAGTTTCCCTTGCTTGGTCTGTTCCAGTCATCTCTGCTGCAGTGTGGGAGAGGCCAACTCTCATTACATTGATGCATTATGACCTTACTGCAACCTTTGTAGTGTAAAAATGTGCATGTTCAACCAAATATTAACCTTCTGCTGCCCTACATGCATGGAGTGTCCTCTACATGGCAGCTTTGCAAACTGAAAGTCTGAAATAACCTCATATTTGCTGTTCCTGTGGAAGCAGATTAGTCCTGAAAAGTGAAGTTCAGGCTCTTGAGGGGATCTGGTGCATGATGCTGGACAAACACATGGATGTGTTATTTTCCTGTACAAAGAACCAAAGATCCTGGTAGGAATTGAGGCACCTCAGTGGAAAGATTAGCCTAAAATAGTAACTCCTCAGTACACTGCTGATTCCTTCTCTTCTCTGCTCCTGTTATAGTCGTGTCTTTTCTCAGCAACCAGATCCATCCTCCCTCACTTCTGTGATAAATATGGTAGGATCTGATGTAATTAATTTTTCTTTAGGACAGACAGGGAGGATCAAGTGGGGGAGATTGGAAAGAGGCAGGTATTCTGGTGTGGGAGTAGGGTTTAATAAACAAGAGAAAAGAAAAATGTATTTTGAGATGTGTAGGTAAATAAATACACATTTTTCAGGCCTGGTGAATCTGAGCAGGCTGCCAAATGCATCGTGTGTTGCACAGGGTGCTTGTTCTTCTATAAATAATTGCCATGTGTAAATGGTAAGTATTCAAAGAAAGATCTGGGTGAAAATATTTACTTGAAACATTTTGTGTACAACAGCTGAATTTTGGTGGCATTGATGCAGGTTTGCTTTGTTTGATATTCTTCATTTAGAGAATTAGGATGTTGTAGCAAAGTAGGTCATGAGTATGTTTGTTGGTAGCTTTTAGATTCCTAGGAAGATACTTCGGGGTTTTAAAAGAAGAAGAAAAAGATTGGAAACCACTGAAACTTTGATGTAATCATCCCATGCAATGTTAATTGTATTGCTCAAGAAGAGGGCAGAGTGTGTTGTGTCTGTACATGCACACACATGTAGACAATTTAAACCTTTGGAGTTTTCCATGAGGAGTTTTACGGGGCCTGAGTTGAGAAGGCAAAAGCTTTACAGATCTGTTGCTTCTCCTCTGGAGCCAGGCTGGGAGAGCTGGGAGTGTTCACCTGGAGAAGAAAATGTTCCAGGGAGACCTCAGAGCCCCTTCCAGGGCCTGAAGGGGCTCCAGGAGAGGGACTTGTTCAAGGGCCTGGAGTGACAGGACACAGGGAATGGCTTCCCAGTGCCAGAGGGTAGGGATAGATGGGATATTGGGAAGGAATTCTTCATATTTAGGGTGCTGAGGCCCTGGCACAGGGCGCCCAGAGAAGCTGTGGCTGCCCCTGGATCCCTGGAAGTGTCCAAGGCCAGGCTGGACAGGGCTTGGAGCAACCTGGGATAGTGGAAGGTGTGGAACTAGATGTGCTTTAAGGTCTCTCCCAACCCAAATCAGTCTGATTAGTATGATTCCTTCTGAACCAGGTAATGAAGCAGTAAATAGAAAAGCTTTGGGGTGACTTGCATAAAACTTGTGTGTTGGGTGTGAGATTTTGGAGCTCTTTGCATGTGTTTATTCTCTGTACCTCTCCATGTTGTTCCTATTAACAACACTAATCTACGCAGCATTCCATACTTCCTGTGATTCCATAGTACCTGGTACTGAGCTCTGTGGGCTTCTGCTGGAAGCATGATGCTGTAAAGCATGCACAGTGGGAACCTGTGAGGGAGAACTGCCCGATTTCCCCCAGACTGTCTGTGCAGGGCAGCTCCTCTGTGCAGACCTGTGTGTGCCACAACATCACCGCTGGTTTGGTTGGGTAAAGCTCTGCCCGGGGTGTTACATTTTGGGAATAATTTGACTTTGAAGAGTTCTGGATCTGTGAAGACCAAAACAAAGCCATAAAACAGGAAAACACAAATATCTTTTTGCCTATAAACCGTCCTGCAGAGCATGTTTCCTACTGATATTTCTCTGTTGCATGAGCAGAAATATCTCACTGACCTCTTTGGAGCGTCATGCATAAAGCGTGGAATCTGTTAATTTAATAGAAGCAATAAAAAAATACTGATCTGACCATTAAATTATACAAATTTTTCTCCTTGGTTCATGAATATCATGTGAAAACAGCAAGGCACATAGTGCTGGCTGCTGCTTTCACATTCCACAGTCTTGTTCTTGTTAGTGTTGGTTTTAAGTAATATTTTTAAGCAATTGTGCACCTCCAAGTAGCTGAAATGTCACTTTTTGCTCTATGTAATTGAAACTTCTAACTCATCTTTTTCTTTTCCAGCTTGTACTTCCAGAGTACCTCATCCATGCATTCTTCTGTGTCATGTTTCTCTGTGCAGCAGAGTGGCTCACACTGGGTCTCAATATGCCCTTGTTGGCTTATCATATTTGGAGGTAATTTTGGCGTCTGTTATGCTCAGTGAATTTTTACTCATTCTCCTGTTGCTGTCTTCTTGTCCAGTGTTGTGTGTCTTGGGAAAAGCCAGATGCTTTCTGGGAAAGTTTAGGTCATGGTTGTACATAAGAACCATCACCTGGCTTTCTTGGGTGTTTCTGTTTCTGTTTTTTGTTCTCTTGTGCTGTTGAAGAATTGAGTTGTGTGCGTTAAAGTCGCTGACTTGTCAGAGGTGCACTGAGACAATTCCCAGTGTGGAAAGCCAGTGGCAATTCCATTCTCCTTTCCCATTCCATAAGACATGGGTATTGAATTGCTTCTCAGTAAAGGGTGTTACTCCTTATTGGTACTGTGGTATTCCCTGGCGGGTGGGGCACAGGACCCACGTTTCCTGTGCTGTCACCCCACTCCTGCCTGTGCCTCGTTCCAGGTACATGAGCAGACCCGTGATGAGCGGCCCGGGGCTCTACGATCCTACGACCATCATGAATGCAGATATTTTAGCCTATTGCCAGAAAGAAGGATGGTGCAAATTAGCATTCTACCTTCTATCTTTTTTTTACTACCTATATGGGTAAGTTTTCTTCTTCGGTCTGAAGTGTCTCAGTGCACAGAGAAATACTGTCCACAGGAATATGTTCCTTCCTGTGCCAGAAGGGAGCCTGTGAGAGCTGGACAGGAACTTTGGGCAAGGGTGTGTAGTGATTGGACACGTGGGAATGGCTTCCCACTGCCAGGAATTGTTCCCTGTGAGGGTGTTGAGGCCCTGGCACAGGGTGCCTAGAGGAGCTGTGGCTGCCCCTGGATCCATGGAAATGTTCCAGGCCAGGTTGGACGGCTCCTGGATCAATCTGGCATAGCCAAAGGTCTCCCAACCCATTGCAGGGGTTGGAATGAAAAGATCTATAAGGTCCTTCCAACTCAAAACAGGCTGGGAATCTGTATGATCATTTACAGTGCAAACTCTCCTGAAAAAGAATCCAGATTCACTACTGATTCTGCTTTCAAACACAAATCCAAATTTGGTCAGATTTATACTTTGAATCTCTGTTCCATGACTGTAAAGCTCCAAGCGTTTCTTCTGTTAAGCATAATACAGTAAATCCGAGGATATTTTAATTAAGAAGCTGAAACGTTGTTTTCAGAGGAAAGTATTGGATGTAAATGTGATTTTACTGAAGTGAAAAGTAGAAGAGACATTGGAAACTACTGACTTCAGTCACCATCCACGTATCTCACATGGACTTTTTCTTTATAATATATGCTGTTATAATCAAATGTGTAACACTAATCAAAATGATGCATCTTAATATTTTTATTTTCTTTTGCAGCATGATTTATGTTCTGGTGAGCTCTTAAGAAGACATTCAGCAAGCTTTGTTCCAGTTAAGTGCATGCAAAAGCCACAAAAAACATGGATTCTTTACAAGAAGAACCTCTGTCCAAGATTAAATCCGGAACCTGATGTTCACAATTGAGTTAGAAAACAATGACTTCCCTGTTTTTAAAATATTTCCACATTTTATACTTGTGGAAAGACTGTTTTCTTATATTTTACTGGGACGTTAAAATTAATGAATTATGTGTAAATTAATATAAAGATGACTGGGGTTTGAAAAGTTTTGACTTTGCACTCCATAAGGAACAGCATAACCTTTGAGTAGGTGTTGGTTACTACTAGCCTTAGTACTCTAGGGACTAGCTGTAGGATGGGCTTTGTAGTGGCTCACTTGGACTTGTGTATCCCACTCCTTACTCTAAACCAGCCCTAGTTCCAAGTGCTTGGGAACAACTGGAATGCTGTGTGTTTTGCCCATAGGTGACATTGGTCTTAGGATATTAATTCATGGACACAAATGCAAAAAATAGTCCTATTTTGGTTTATTTTTTTTTATTATCTGATTAATCTTCCCCTGTATGTGCATGGTCCAGAGCCTTCTGTGTCTTCTCCAAACATTAACCCTGCTTTAATCTTGAGCCTGTGTCATTGTGGTAGGAGAAGCTGAATTGTCCATGAAGGGATGAATTTAAATGTGGTTTGTTTTTTTTTTAATGTCTGTGCTGTCTGATTAACAAATGGACAAACCTCCAACCTTTATCAAGTCCAATGATGAAAACACTCTTGGGTTTAAGAGTAGTAAATACTACAGACTTTTTCAAAGCAGAAAGTGAGATTGTGAAACTGCCCCGCTGTTCCTTAGTGCAATAAATGATAATAAAAAACAAATCTCAAATTCAGCAACTTTTTATGTGGTGCCTTTTGTTTTGCTTTTAAATTCAACAGATCTTCACTGTGTTCATCAGTTGTTTTACTGTGGATAATTACATTCCCTTTAAAAATAGAACATGGAATTAAAATACCTCTGGAAAAGGAAAGCTCTTATTTCCTGCTTTTTTTCCTAAAGTTAAATAGCAGATGGGGCAGGGGAAGATGTTTCATATAAATATTGCATTGTAAGTTGTGACTGTGAACAGCTGCTTAATTTTCAAGTAATAATCTTTTTCATTTACCTGTGCTGGAGAACAACAGTTTCCCCATTCTAGTAAAACTTTTTTTTTTTGCATAAACTGTGTATTTGTTCACTTTGGGTCTGTTGGGTGTTAGGGGCAATAAAAGCTGTAGGAGTGGCTGCACTGGGTTCCAGCAGAAATCCAGATACTCCAACACTGCTGTGTTGGGCAGTGGCAATGGCTGAGGGCAGGTGTTGAGTATCTGCCTGAAGAGCGAGCAGTTTGGAAGTTTGTGTGTTACAGATGGCTTGAGTGGGCTTTGGCGTTTTAAAAAGCTCTGAATGGCTTTTCTGCCATCACTTCAGTTGCTTTTTGAGCACTTCTGTAGTCTGAAAGATCACAGAATCCCAGAATGGTTTGTGCTGGAAGGGACATTAAATTAAAGCTCATTCCGTTCCACCCCCTGCCATTGGCAGGGACACCTTCCACTATCCCAGGGTGCTCCAAGCCCTGTCCAACCTGGCCTTGGACACTTCCAGGGATCCAGGGACAGCCACAGCTTCTCTGGGCAATCCTGACAGTGAATTCTGCAATGGAATTGCTGTGTGTAAAATTAGGTATCTAACAGTTCTGCCAGACTTCACTTAGTGACCCTACACTCTTTATTTATTAGGACAGTGTGAAAATGCACCCCTTTCCACCTTGTTTGTGCTGGGTATGAATGAACACTTTACTCATGTCATCTGTCAAAGGGGCTGTCTGTTTGATCTCTGGTTGGAAATCCTTCCACAGTGCTGGGACTGTCCTTTCTCTTCCACACCTTTCCCCTTTTCTAGGCTATTACCACACAAAATTTGGGTTCCCAGGGGATGGAGAGTGGTAGTTTCTATTTTTTTTAAATATACTGGGGGTAAGAGAATTCAGGCTGTGATAACTTCAAATTCTCTTTCCTAGTAATACTCCTGACAGCTTACTGCTTTGTACATAAAAATGTTTTTCTCATGTTTCCTTGCATTTATGCCCCTACTGCTCAAGCCTTCAGCATTTCATGATTATTTTTTTTCCTCATGCAACCATAATTTTTAGCTTTTCACAGAAGAATTTTTGAAAGGCTTTCTGGAAACTCATGAATATTGTTCCTATTGGATTTTTATTTTTCTGCTGCATGGCTCTTCCAGAGATGACTTCAGCCTGTGGAAGCAAAGCTCATTAAACCTTTATGTTTGTATATTTATTAATCCATTATGGAAACAAGACTGCCTACTTGCAGCCCCTGGCTCTCCTCAACCTTCTAAACAAATGTCTCATTCCCTTGGCATTTGGGCTGGTTTGAGCCAAATTCCACACTGGAATAAACAACGCAGGCCTGACTGAACCCAACTGACAGCTGCTCCTGCAGCCCCTCCAGCTGCAAGGGCTTTGCCCAGCAGTATTTACCAAAGTGTTTGCACTGTTCTGCTGATGACCAGCTTTAACTGGATATGGGGTGCAGATGAGTATTCCCAGCTGCCCAGGGGTGTGGATAACACCATCCATGGCCAGCAACATCAACCTTGAGTCCCAGAAGTGCTAGAAGTAGCCCTTGTGTGATGCCTGGTTGGAGTACCAGGCCTTTGGCATTCAAAATGTGGACCTGATCATTGTTTTTGGAGTTCCAGGTGGCAAAAGATTGTGGAGAAAATATAGAACATTTCTCTTGCCCTCAGCAAGCTCCCTCCTAAATCCTGTGATAAATATTTAATATCTGAAAACCATTAGTTGCAAGGAACATTTAGGGTGGGGTATTTGCTGTAAATGATTCTATGCTCTGGAAATCGGAAAAGTTCCTGTCGTTTGCCATAAGAGTGGAGAAGGAAATGGCAGTAAACACTAATTAATCTGCAGAAATCACCTTTGTGCTCAAAGTTCAAATGTTAAAAGATAAATTCTGAAGTTCACAAAACAGGGACTTGTTCATCTCCAGCCCCCTGGTGCTGTGTGGAGTCCCATCCCAACTTTTGATTTGAGAAGGTCCAGGACTTTATCAAAATCCTGAACTTATGAAAACTCATGAGCTGTTTCATCTTGCTTTTATGAATGGATATAATGAAACAGGAGGGCTGGGGACTGTTAGAGGACCGTTCCTGTGAGATCCTCCCAGCCCACAGCTGATTGTTTGTTTACTCTCAGTGGTGGCAGCAGGCAGAAGGGCTCTGCCAGCTCACCCACGCAGCTGCAGCAGTGTCTTCCTGCCACAGTCACCTACAACCCCCAGCTTGGTTTGTCACAGATTTGTGGTACAACACCTCGTGCTTTTGCAACGAGGAACTCCTTCCTAAATACCCCTCAACACATTGAGCAGAACTGTGACATTATAGAATGAGTTGTTACAAGCTCATAAGGGGTCAGTGCTCCAGCTTGACTTGGCTTTGCTTTACAGCAGAACTGAGGGTGTGAGGGTGTTTTTAAACAGCTCCAGAGATGGAATTTCTATCCAGCTCCATTATCCCAGAAGAACAGCAATGGACACAAACACACTTGTACATGTATTTTTCAGGCAGTGAGTATTAATATCACCATAGAGAGGAAGATACCACATGTTCTCTAGGATTTCCTTCCCCATCCCAATACTTTACACAAGGATTTGGAAGGCAGCAGCTGTGTCACACAGGCAGTGGCACTGAGGAAAGATCAGGAGAGAGGTGTCTTGTCCAGGAGTTTTCCACACAGATACAAAACTGCCCGTGGCAGGATCAGCTACCGCGATGCTGATCTCAGCACTGGGTCCTTTGTTGCCAGGTGTGCAGCCAGGTTCTCCCGGAAGTCATGGAGGAAATTGTACTGCTGGAAATGCACAACCAGGTCTGCAGTGAGTGCTCTGTACTTTAAGAATAGGCACCACCTGTCTTAAAAAGCTGTTTGATATCCCTGGATGAAAACTGCACCCTCTGGTTCATTTGTTCTTCATGTGCCTACTCCACATCCTCCGGGATTTTTCACTGTCAAAGATTCCATGGACCTTGACTTGGATCCTGTGGTTCCCCATACTGACCACAGGTGATGCATTACCCTTAGGTAATGCAAGACATGGTCCTCAGAGGTGGGAGTTGGCAGAATTCAAAGCTGCTTTATTTTGAATCATGGAGTCATTTAGGTTGGAAAATCTCTCTAAGGCCTTTGAGTCCAAACATTCCCCAGCACTCTAGGGCTGCCACTGCTCCACGTTCCCAAGTGCATTCACATGGCTTTTAAATTCCTCCAGGGATGGGGACTCCACTACTGCCATGGGCAGCTGTATCGGGGCTGGACAACCCTTTCAGTGAAGAAATTTTCCCTATTATCCAACTTAAACCTTTTCTGGCACAACTTGAGGCCTTTTCCTCCTGTCCAGTCACCAATTTCCTGGGACAAGCTGTTTCTTGAAAGCAGAAAACAGCTCAAACCTCAGAGAGCAGCTGTTGGAAAGACAGAGGTATCTCTCTGGGAAGTGAAGGAGGGGACTGGCTGAGCTCTCACTGCTGTTGGACCCGTGTATTACCTGCTGCAGCCCCATTACCTTGATGGTCTGTATGGCCCCCGATCCTCTCAGGTTCCTGAGGCTCTCTATCACCTGCTGAGGTGCCAGGGTGTCCGAAAGCTGGAGCAGGAGACAGGCAGCCACTGTAAAGGAAAATATTTACACCTGAATGCTGCTGAGTGCCTCTGCACACAGCCACTGATTTGTCCCATGAAAACCATCCTGGCAAAACTAGCCAGGTCCCAGAGCTCTTGGATCTCTTGTAGAATCCTATTTCTGGGCACTGCCCCATCTGCCTGCTGCTCCTGCCTAAGCCTATGGGCTTTGGAAATAGGTGAAAACCCCTCCCACTATTTTCCCCCTGCCTTCCCAGGAACATCCTGGGATGTGATTCCTCATCTTTTCAGGAACAAGTGCCAGTACACCCAGTTCATTCCCCTTTGTGTCTTCTGGCCATATCACCACTCCTTCCTTCTGGGAACACACAATAACTAACGCTCCTGAAAGTTTTAAAGGGCAACACTGTGATGAAGACAGATGCAGAGGAATTGGTTCATGTCCTTTCTATTAACCAGGCTGCTCGTGGTAGTGGCAGGTTTGATTGCATCCACAGTGAAGCTTCCAGCAGAATTTGGCTCCATGAGTTTGTGGGATGGGTTAATCAGGCATGGATACAAATGCTTACCCAGACATGAGCGTCCAAGGCCACCATAACAGCTGGGAGAAAAGAGAACATCTGGTTGTAACAAGCTGTAGCAAACTGCAGCACCCAGGGACTCCCCCCAACACATAAATACATGGACACAGCTCTTGCCTTATTAAAATCAAGAGGAGCAGTAGTACGAGAAAGTCAGAACAAGATTTTCTCCATATTTTCTATATTCTATTTCTATGCCTACAGGGATATATCCTATTTATTCTCTGGACCTTCTGTGTCTTTCCATGGAAACTTCAATTTTAAAGCTCCCCTTTATTCCTGGTAATAGTCCCAAAGGCACAGGAGGACAGGGAACAGCAAGAGGATGGACAATCTCAAATTTCTTTAAATCCTACTCCAGATTAAGGGTTTGAAGACAGTTGTGAGGAGCGCAGCAGGGTTCTACATTAGCAGGAAGACCAAGGACTCAGTGGATGTCTGTACAGGAAGCTGTCAGTGGGATCACTCAGGGAACATGGAATTTGGAAAGTTCTTCCCCTCTCTTCTCAGCTCAGCTAAATAAATTCCTTTTAACCTGTTCATGGAAATTAGGAGTGAATTTTGCACTGCTGGAACCCATTGAGTCTCTGACAAATAGTCCAGGGGCGTGTTATAGAATCATAGAATGGTTTAGATTGGAAGGGACCTTAGAGCCATTTCATTCCACCCCCTGCCATGGGCAGGGACACCTTCCACAGGATCAGGTTGTTCCAAGCCCCATCCAGCCTAGCCTGGAACACTTCCAGGGATGGGGTAGTTACAACTTCTGACAAAGAAGTGCTTTAGGGTTGTGTACACCTGGTATCCAGGTAGGCTGGGAGCAAGGAGCCCTCTGGTTCCACTCAAAACACACTTCAAAACTCCTGCTGGACAGAGCAAGGGGAAATGGGACATTCTAATGCTGGAATGGGACATT